TAGGGAAAGAGAGTACTTGAAGACTGTACTTCACCGGATATATGGAAAGTTCATGGTGCACCGCCCATTCATTAGGAAATCAATCAACAACATATTTTATCGGTTTATTTTTGAAACTGAGAAACATAATGGAATAGCAGAACTGTTAGAAATTTTGGGCAGTATAATCAACGGATTTGCTCTACCACTCAAGGAAGAGCACAAGTTGTTCCTTGTTCGAGCTCTTATCCCACTTCATAAACCAAAGTGCGCACAAATGTATCATCAGCAGTTATCTTACTGCATAATACAATTTGTGGAAAAGGACTGCAAGCTTGCTGATACTGTCATAAGAGGTCTGTTGAAATATTGGCCTATCACAAACAGTTCAAAGGAAGTAATGTTCTTAGGTGAGCTGGAAGAGGTCCTAGAAGCAACTCAGCCTCCAGAGTTTCAGCGCTGTATGGTTCCGATGTTTCGTCAGATCAGTCGTTGCTTGAGCAGCTCACACTTTCAGGTTGGTGTTTTTGGTTGATTTGACACTCTCTTTTTTTCTCTTCTTTGTTCATTCCTGAAAGAACTCATGGGTATCCTGACTGAATCTTGATATATTTGGAAATTTGGATACCTCGATATTAAGGTTCGTAATAAGCTAAAACTTGCTAAAATCACCAAGGAGCAATGAGAACATGTTAGTAAGAATCTATGTGTAGGGACTGATAGAAATTAAAAAGCATGATGGAAAGTTCATTCTGTATCAGAAATACAGTTTAGCTTGCAAGAGAGTTCTGTGTAGTTTAAAATCCAAACTTTATGAGCATTAATTACTTGACTAAATAGTATTTGTACGTAGCTGTATAAACTTGGAGTAGAATGGGACAAAATATTGATCTAAACATCATTCAATACAGCTAAGTTGCTCGGACTCTTCATTTTCGGTGCCGCACCCGTGCCGACACGACGTAGATGTGGGTGTGGGATCCATATCGGATTCGGTCAATCAATTTGGGGTACTTTGACCAAAATCAACGGAGAAATTTGGGACTGATATAATGATTTCTTAGCTCAAAACAAAAGCTCGGGTGAAATTGAAGAAAATAGAATACCTTGTATATTGAATTTTATATGTCACTTGCTTTTCCTTTTATCTCCTTCTCTTCTTGATCAGTATTTTCTCCACTCACATGATTCTGCGAATGAAGGGGAGCCTTGGCGTAACTAGTAAAGTTGCTGCCATGTGACCAGGGGGTTACAGGTTCAAGCCGTGTAAACGGCCTCTCAGAAATGCAGGGTAAGGCTGCGTACAATAGACCCTTGTGGTCCGGCCCTTCTCCGGGCCCCGTGCATAGCGGGAGCTTAGTGCACCAGGCTGCCATTTTTTACATGATTCTACGAATATGACAATGTATTTTTTATGAAAATAGGTAACATTATAATTAATAAAAGCTCAGCATCAAGCTAGTATTGAGACATAGTACAAAAGCATTACTGGATATGAGTCCTCTAAAGTTATAGGGACTCCAAAAACTCCAGCATTTAAATCAGTGTAAGTAGACAAATTTGCATTACGCCAGTCTTTATAACGTTGAAATACATTTATTCTTCATAATAAACACTTTCTCTTCCTTTCCCTCAAGCACCTTCTATTCTCTCGAGCCAGATGTTCCATAATATGCATAGAGGAATACTCTTCCAGGTATTCTTCTCCTTTCTCATTCCTTGCCTCTGCCAACTGCTCAAAACCTGCTTTACATTTGCTGGCATAACCCACTGGATCCCGAAGAGACTACAGAACATCAAAACGTAATTGCAAGGAAGCAACAGATGATTCACTGTTCTTCCTCTTTCTCACATAAATAGCACCAACTGCAGATATTATCTTTTCAAGTCAGTAAACTTTTCAGCGAGAGCCAGTAAAGGAAAATAGGCCAGAAAATGTCTTATGGTTGTAAGCTATGTTGCCTGAATCCTCATTTCTCCTGACATAACCATGGCCTACGAGTGTGATAAGGGTGTGGATACTTCGTGCCGGTTCTTCAAAATACACAAATTTATCAAAAGGTTGAGGTACCCATCGGATACTTCCACACAACCGTACCATTTACATACCTGTAAACGAGTCGGAGCAACGTAGGGTTGTACGAACTACTTGACTTGTCATGTTGCAAGAGGGTACTAGCCAATCTAGCATTATATAGGCAGTGAGCAGCACATCTATGTATCTGATCTTCTGGAAAATCTGATGTTTGCATGTGATTTTTACATATTCTTTCATTCGAGTAACTGTCTACTGATTTTACTCTCAAAAATTAACATTTTACATTTTCTCTACCAAAATTATGGATGCGACCCTGCAACTTTTCAAGTATTAAGTGTGACCTGTCCCAATATTAATGTCTCTGCAGACCAGAATTTTTTTACTACGGATCAAGTTTCAGCTTTGGCTCCCAAAAGAACAATTGCAGAGGTAGATGCATGTATAGGATGATAAGCACCACATCTCTTATGGAGCATAGAAATGAGTCAAAATGAATAGTTGTTCTTGTTGTTATTTATCCTATTTGGGTAGACCCAGGAAGGGGGCACAGCTGGCGTATTTTAGAAGTAATCTAGTTAAAGCATATCTACTGAAAAATATGGAGAACACCAGACAAAGTTTAGTCCTGAAATCTCTGTCTTAGAAGACCTTTATGTTGCTCATTATCAGCCTAGGATCCACTGGAGTTTCTTTTGCCTATGTAAGCATCTTCTCTTATGTCCGATTTTCCACTCCTCTTGCCAAAGAGAGTAAGGTGGTGCTTATAAATTTTCTTTTGTTTCTGTATGTTATTAACCAGTCAGGATTTGTGCATGTCCCTTGGCCAATTCGATTTTGTTTCTCGTAGAGATGCTCTAACTTGCTGCTTTTCTGTTGTGACTGCGACAACTTCACATAAAATAATACTCACTTACATGTTATTTGTTGCAACTTCCTGGGATAACTTGATAGAAGATAATCCTCCAACCTGCGAAGCAACATTTTGGCTAAGACTTTTATGTCTATTGTGAAATTATCTAAGCATCCTATCCAAAACTTTAAGGCAATTGGTGAAGGGGCTTACGATGTTATAAACCCCTTTGGAAACCCTTGCACAACCAATGGAGACTAGTTTGATCTAACTTCTAACATCCTCCCGCACATGTAACATATTCTGCAGTTTGCATGTGTTGAAGACTTTTATTTTCGTTTTTTTTTGAAGAGTGGACCTAATGTAGGGAGAGATCAGGCTCGATTGGATGAGGGTGGGCCTTGAGCATGAGAGAGCTGGCTCAATAGGCTAAAGTGGGCCTGGAGCTGAGATAGAAAGAGTGTGCTCCAGGCAAAAGAGTGGGTATGGAGTAAAGTTAGTGGCTCAATGACTTAAGCTGGGAGAATGAGAGAAGTCCAAAGCGGCTTGATGGCCTGAGTTGAGAGAGAGAAGCCCAGAAGAATACAGTAGGTAGAGAGAAAACAGTTGTCAAATGAGCTCACTGATACCATGTTAACTAATTTGCATCCGACCCAAAATCTTTAGGCAATAGTTGGAGCCGCCCAGGAACATTATAAACCCTTTTCAAAACCCTTATATGACCAATGACGGACAAGTGTATTCTCTGACATCTATGATTGAAATCAAACCAATGATAACTGGACATGTAATGTAATGTGGTTGTTGATAGAATGAGATAGACCAGATCCATTATCTGCAGCTTCCATTTTTCCCCCTCTCTGTGTGTGACAAATTCTAGTTCATTTCAATCTGTTCAAATCTTGCATTGACAGGTGGCTGAGAGGGCTTTGTTCCTGTGGAACAATGATCATATTGAGAACCTAATCAAACAAAATCGTAAAGTTATACTGCCAATAATCTTTCCTGCCTTGGAGAAGAATACTAGAGGCCACTGGAATCAGGCAGTACAAAGCTTGACATTAAATGTCCGCAAAATATTCTCTGATATTGATCCTGAACTTTTTGAGGAATGCTTGCACAAATTTGAAGAAGATCTGGCTCATGAAGAAGAGAACAAGACAAAACGTGAAATGACGTGGAAACAATTAGAGGAGATTGCTGCAATTAAAGCTACTAGCAATGAGCCAGTGCTAGTTTCTCTTAGGACAACCCCTCATTCACCCACTGGCTAGTAGAGACTAGTATATTTGTCACCGTTACTTCACCCTTGATGAGCTGACCTGTATGCTGATCGAGGATGGGAATTGTATCAAAGGAGGTGGAATCAACAAAATGAGCAATGTTTCCGTGTTTGTTCATGCTGTGATACTTCCCAAAAATTTGCTTTCCCAGGTCTTTCAGTGAACAGAACTGGATACGGACTCTATTTGCATTCAGACACGACGACTGTACATATGGAATTGCGTGGCAGAGCCTCAATGTTTTATATTCTGCAGTGCAGCCATAGCTGGAGTTAATTTGGTATTTTTTTTAGTTGGATTTACAAGTGATAAGATTAAAAGAACATATCTGTTAAGATTATTTTTGCATCTAGTTTCGTTCTAGTCTGCAGTTAAATCCCTGTAGTATCACATGTATGTTTGGCATTTGCTGCTTGGCATGAAATGTTTTTGTAGATAATCCTCTGAACTTTCCAAATTAACACAGGAAAGGCAATGTTGAATGACCTTATTCTTTTGTATTTACCATTGTTTGCCATTGAGTTTGTCAGAAATATATTCTGGAGGATGTGGCTTGGAGTTGGGATATTTCTTTTATAATTGCTGTTGGGGGAAAAAATTGATTATTTAGACCAGGTAGTATAATGTTTGGTAAGGCTCATTTTTTTTAGCGGTAGTATTTAGACCAGTTTGTACGGACATCAATCCTCCTACTAGTACAAGTATTGGGCAACTCTATTGTCTAAGGTTTAGGTAGATGAAAAGCTACTATCAGAGTCGTATTTTCACTCATAAGTTGCAGTTGAAGATTAAAAAATAATCATTGGAAGTCAAAATTTTCTTGTGTAAAACACTAAAACTGTCATCCAGACTCAACGCAAAACTTGTTGCAAGAAGTCCAAGCGCCCCTTGTTATTTTATGAGAAGGTTTTGTTTAAATGCAAATCAATGGGATCTCAATGTTTACTCATGTCCAAACTTTGCTTTGCTCGTCCATTCGAATGCATTAGTCTTTTCTTAGTTTTGATATTTGGTGAACCAACGGTATTAACAAACAAAACACTTGATAACTCTGAAGAACCATAACATCAAGGTGCACTGCAGTGGGGTGGTTGTAGGATGACATAGTTATTATTTTGTTTCTACTACAACAATTACAGTTAAACCTCTCTACAACAGCCTCATTTGTTCCGGATATTTTTGGATGTTATAGCGAAGTCGCTATACAGAACATATATTATAAGATAACATAAAAAAATTGGTTCCGGAAATATTTGACTGTATAATACTTTCTCATGTTCATCGCTATCACTATCTCAATCTGAAACAAAAGTGGTTCAATAAAATTTGTCTTAAAACCAATTTTTTTAAGTTAGTCTTTTTCGGTAATCATCAATTAGAAAGTTGATTGGCTTCTTTCCTTCTTACAAAGATTTTGTACATTTTATTCTCTACAAACTTCAATATATTCTTTCAAAAAAGATTGGGTTATAAACTAAGTAATAATTTATGAGGTCTCAAGGTTTTGGAGGATAAGGCTTGGCTGGAAAGTTGATGACATGTGAGTTTCCTCTTGCAGAAATGCAAGATAAGATTGCGTACAATATAACCTTGTGGTCTAGCCTTTTTTGGACCTGCGCATATCGGAAGCTTAGTGCACCGGGCTGCCCTTTTTCAAGGTTTTGAAGGCCTAAAACAAAAGGGTTTTTTTGGCTTAGGCCTTAAGCCGCCTTTCCCTCACAATCACAATCCCTCCTTTCTTTGCTCTTAAGTCTTAACGGATGAAAATTCACAAAGTTTTGTTGAAGAATAAAGTGCACAACCTTGCAAGATATTGCATGGTAAATTAATATTTTTGTCATATAACACGTTGGTTCGTGATTATATAGGTCTTGCATCGCATAATTACCCAAGCCTCGGAGAACTAGTTTAGCTGGCGAGGTTGTGATTTACATGTATTGGAGGTCATTAACTTCATAGTATCTAAGGGCAAATGTATTAAATACTGTAATAGATGGACTAAAACTAGAGTTAACCTAAAACACAAGGACAAAAAGTGAGAAGCCAGAGAAAAAGATAGCCGTTAGGCCCAGAAAGAAGCCCATGTTGCATTCGAGATACTTGACCGTTAATGCCAAAAACCTGCATCCATTTTCGTTTCATCACAAACAGAATGTTGAATGAAGAGGTGAAGAAAAGCCCCAGTAACCCAAAAGTCGAAAATGGAGAAAAACGTGAGGCGTTGTTCAGCCCAAGATTCAGATCAGTGGCTGAAATGGCAGGTTGGGACTTGGGACGAAGAGGCGCTGCTTGTAGCCAGTCTTATTGCCGAAGACACTCCAGAATCCCAGCATAAACAGAAGAAACTTCCTGGTTTGCAGCGTTTCTGACTCCGCCTTCGAATTCCAGAAGGTAATTACACTGTCACATTGAACATTGTCTGATTAAATTCTCGGCAATTTTTATTTGGGTGATTGGAAATGCTCAAATTTTTGTGATATTTCCGGGAAACGAAGGTCTCAGAAGTGGAGCCCTGCTTCTTGATGATGATGACCCTGCAAAACAAGGTTTTTCTTTTTTGTCATTTCACAAATTTGAATTATTTAGTAGTAAATACTTGCAACAACTAATTACTATGCTTTAATTCCGAATTAGTTGGAGTCATATGTATGAATTCTTAATATTTACTTTGTTCAATTAAGAACTGTTTCATTTGGGTTCTTCAATACTATAGTTTCATCTATATTTTCTGCTGACATAAAAAAAATAACAAATTAAAAAGACAGAAGCCAAACACCATACTTGATGTAAGTGTACCAACAAAAGGATTGAGCAACTTTAATCTCAACATGTTACAACTAGAAAAAAAGATCATTCCAATGTTTAGCCGAAACTGAGAAAAGGAAGCCAGAGCCAAATCCTCTGAGTAAACCTTAATTTCAACATGTTACAAGTAGTAAAATAGTTTTCATTTCAATGTTGAGTAGAAACTGAGAAGAAGAAGAAGAAGAAGACAGAACCAAAATCCACGGGAGAAGGAGATAACAAAAAGGCTGAAGCATCAAAAGAACAAAGCTCTTCTGCTTCAGCCAATCTCTGCATAGATCAACTTCGTGAAGAGCTTTCTTGCGCTGTAAGTGTCACGGAGTCTATTCTTGAATGTTGATGTGCATTTTCTTCTGTTGCCTTTTACAAAATTTCAAGTTTGCAAAATGTTGATGAGCATTTATTTCAGTCCAAAATCCACAGGAATGCTTATTGCCTTTAGCAAAATGTCGAGTTTGAGTTATTTTATTTGTATTTGCAGATTTGTTTGGAGATTTGTTTTGAACACAGGTACAATCTAATTGACATCCACACTAACTCAGATTCATACAACAATACTTAGTAGAAATTTCCAGTAATAGGTTCTAACTTATTTGGTCCAATTATGTCTACAATTTCGGTAGGAAGTGTTTGGGGGAAGAAATGCCCTAAGTGCAGACAGCTTATCAGGTACTACTAAATATTAGCATTCGCGAAACACTTCTACTGCGCTGGAGGGGAGATCTTGTGCAATTTGTAGCCGTACCTTATATTTGTGCCACCTTTTAACTTGTATCCTATTTTTAAAAATTATTGATTTGATAGCCAGCTGATAAAAAATCCTTAATAATATAATCATTATACACCTGACAAAAGATATAAAAGATGCATCACACATAAATCGCTTTACCGTTTTCCTCCATCACTCTGTCCCTCCTCAGATCTCCTCTCACATCTGCCATAATCACGAAACCAGAAAGTTGTGGTTTAGAATAAATAGTGAAGGAATGGAATTCATTGTTATTCCTTCTTAGATATTCAACCTTGATTCAATGTTGTTTAGAATAAATAGTGAAGGAATGAAATTCATTGTGGACTTAAAGAAGAGAACTTGTGACTGCTTGGAATTCCAACTTGATAAATTGCCCTGTCCGCATGCAATTACTGTTATTAATAAGAGGTATTTGCAGAAATCTGATTACTGCTCAAAATGGTATTCAAGGGAAACATGGCTCAAAACATATGAAGGACATGTGAATACTGTGGGAAATCAAAGTTAATGGGATATACCACAAAATGTAAAATCTGAAATCACAAAACCTCCCGATGTAGAGATTCTACAAGGAAGAAGACAAAAGAAGAGGCATATCCCTGCGACTGAAACAGTACCATTGAAGTCTACCAAATGCAGTCGCTGTAAACAAATTGGGCATACCTTGCTTGTCTTCTCCAGCAACTCATCCATATTCCAAGAAACACGCTGAAAAATACTCCAGCGTCCAATAATCCTTGGTCTTTTATATATTGCTTGAAGTACAAACCACTCATTTTTGTTGTCGGCTTACAAATTTGGTTGCATTATGAAAAAGTNATATATATATATATATATATAATAAAAAACTACACCTTTCAGTATGAAGTATTCATAATGCAGGACAAAACTTTAGCATCTTTAGTCTGAGTTTTAAAAAATGAACTAAATAACTTCAACATATTCTCTTTGAAGTTTGGAAAAAAATCATTACAAAAATTGCAGACTGCTGGACAAAACTTCAGCATATTTTGTGTGAAGTTTTAGGAAATGAACAAAAAAATTCCGCACAGATAAGTCTGACTCTTAAAAGATATAGTTACAACGCCTATTAACGGAAAATGTTTGAAAAAAAACTACAGCCTATAAACTTCAGATAAAAAAGGTTCAAGTTTCTAACTTATATATGCTAACTTTAGCTTACAAGGCATGCAATTTTACGTTGGCGTACTACGTTATTACATTAAAATGAAAATGCAGCCTTCAAAATTGAAAAATATTATACGGAAAAATGAAACAAATTTTTTCATTTATAAAACATAATACAACATAAACATTAACAAAACACCACCATCATCAAAACATTAACAAAATAAAAGAAGAGCCATAAAAACATTAACAAAACACACTTAAGAAAAACATAAAAAAAAAGTATTACAAAAACTAAGCATCATCACCATCACAGATGGGAAACTTAAAACAATCAAGGGAAAAAGGCTCTAAAATTGTCCCTCTACTTTGGATAATTAGCCACGTTTATACCCGTTTCTACTTTTCGTCTAAAATTGTCCCTACCGTTAACATAGTAAATAAAACTATCCCAAACCCTAACATATGTCCAACTTGGCACCTGGACCCATAATAATTTGCCAACTAAGCAAATATGAACCCATTTTAAAAACTCGCCCGACCCTACTTTTCGTCTTTTTCTTCTTCATCGAGAAAAATATGACTAGAAAAATATAAGATGACAACACTTGTGTAACTTGTATTTTCTTTTGCTTTTTTCAATTCTTGTTTCTATTTAACTGCGATTGATTTACTATTGTTATCATGAAAACTTCTCAAGAACACCAGAAGCTAATACTCTAGAAGAGACCTAGTTTGTCCTCTTCAATTTTTCTTAAACCCCAAACAATGGTGATTTTGAGATTTCCTCCGCACAAACTAACGAAACAACAGTGAAACTTTAAGGTTAAGCTCAATCAAACGAGTCCTAAAACAAATTCGCAAAGAATCATCAACGTTTTTCAGATTTGGATTTTCAAATTTCAAACCTCAAGCTTCATTCGTGGTGATTCAACAATGGTAAAGTTAATTTCAAACCTCAAGCTTAGGTGGTATTGAATCATATTGATCTTAGAGTAAACTAACTTTAATAGAGCCAATTTCTCAAGATTGCTTATTGTTTTTAGAATTGAACACTTCGATGAGTTATAAGAAAGACAAGTTTGTTCAAAGATTTCAACTTTGATGGATTATGACAAAGAAATTCTGGAGGAGGAAGAAGGGCAGTGTGGTGGTTGTCAGGGCAGAGGTCGCTGGCAACTTTATCTCCATGTCCGATTGAGAAACACAATTTTCTTCCGTTTAAAATCAAAGGTAATCCCCAAAAATTTACTTGTACAAATAGTCATTAGATTGGTTTTCAAAAAATTACACTGATAAAACAAGAGATATTTCCCACATATCATTCCAAACAATCTATTTTCTGTCATAAATTGGTGAACGAAGGTGATGGACTGGTGAAGCGGTAGCTGTTTTGATGAAGGTGAAGGCGGCCGGCGGCGGCTGGTTGGGAGGTGAGTAGGATGTGGCTACAACTTTTTACATGGTTCATCATTCAATATATAAATCCTCAAAGATGTTCATGTTTACAGACCTGAAATACTTTTAGGCTTTGATTTCTTTTATTCTGTATTCATTTTTCTGATCTTTAAATCTTCACAAAAAGAGGGTAAACAGGAAGGGAGGGGTCAAAAAAATGAGCACGGGTCTCTATAATTCGGGTTAGTATTTGCCCAGTTGGCACATTAAATGAGGGGTCCTACTGCCACGTGTTAGGATTAGGGACGGGTTTGTATACTTTACTTAACAGTGGGTGTATATTTGGACCGAAAGTGGAAACGGGTATAAACAAGACTAATTTTCGATAGTATAGGGACAATTTTGGCCTTTTTCCCAAACTACTAGATAACCTTGTCAAACGAGGTTGAATATAACCTTCACAACTGCGTTCGAGGTTCAGCCTGTTCTCGAGTGATTTTCATCGACAAAAAACTGCGATTTGATTCTTTCCCAATCAATCTTTATTTGATCCCACGTCTGCATAAGATTAGCTATTGGTACGTTACTATTCCAATCAGACTTTAAACTCTCCCACTTCTACATAATTTCATCCATTATAAGCTTCCTACTTCCTTTAGCACCAGACATTATTTTTTAAAAATTGCTAAAAGGCTAAGGATGAATATAAATTTAAAGAAATATGATAGAAGTCTATGGATGACTATGAAATTTTCAAGCGCAGAGATTATTAATATACCCAAAGAATGCACCTAATCAGTTTAATATCTATAAATGCAAAGGTAACTTTTCAAGTCTGTTTACTGTTTTACGTTTAGAGAAATTGAATGTAACAAGATAAGTAGGTGGTAAAAGAAAACAAGTAGGTAGTAAATGCAAAAAGAAATGTAATTTCAGGTCCACAGTTTTTCTATGGTAAAAAAATAACTTCAGCCTGAAAATTTTTACATAATCAAATAAAAAATTCTTCATTTATTATTTGTAAATGCAAAAGTAACTTTTCAGCTCATTTACTATATGGTCAGACAAATTTAAATGTAAGATGATGTAGGTGATAAAAGACGAAAAATAGCTTGTAAATGCAAAAAAATAAGTATCAAGTTAAAAAATATCAAAACATGCTGAAGTTTTGTCTTGCTGTCTGAGATTTAGCAATGAGTTTTCCCTAAAAACTTCAGAACAAAAATGCTGAAGTTATTTATTTCATGTGCTAAAACTTCAGACTGAACATGCTGCAGCTTTTTTATTCATTTCCTAACACTTCACACTAAACATGCAGAAGGTAAAACTTCATGCTAATATAGCTTGAACTTGTTATTTAGTTCATTTGCTAAAAACTTTATACCAAAACACGATGAAGTTTTTGTCCTACAGTCAACACTTTTGTTATGAGTTTTATTCGAAACTTCAGCCTAAACAAGTAGTAGAAGTTATTTAGTTCATTTGCTAAAAATTCAGACTAAGCATGCTGATTTCACAAAAATATAGTTAAGTTCATGATAAAAGAGACAAAAGTATTTGATACAATCCAAGACAACTTCAGACTAATTAACGCGAATAGAACAAAAATGTAAAAGACAGACATCACATAATCCAAAAAAATTAATGTATATTCATAAATCCAATTTGTTTTCACTTACATCCTTGAAAAAATAACAAAAAAGAAAAAAATTGTTTTTCATTTACAAGACTGTCTTCATATTCTCTATAGTCATGTCCTAGTTGCTCTTCTGGAGTTTCATAACCGCTATTTTCTTTTCACTTTCCATGAGCCCAAAGATTTGTAGGCAATTTTCTTCTGAATGTCAAGGCATCACTTTGATTGAATTTGAAGACATCATCTTGCTACAACTGCAACTCAAGGAACTTAAGAGCAAATATACCCACAATCAACACTACAAAAAGAACATGAGAAAAAATTGAAGAATAGTTAACACAAAAAGAACAAACGATAAACATAAGATGCATGGTAAACATATGCCAAACACGTACTTGTTATCTTGTAGGGGTGTGTTCATCCACTTAATCGTAAATTTTTCCATGGGATTTTCCCCATAAATTTTATTGTGTGTGCTGGTTCAAGCATTTAAGACAGTGTCAGATCAGTCGGACATAATTTTGGACATGTTCAACCGCACGATCATATGGTGTACTGCTCATGGAATCACACAAAAATATAGTTTCTTTTTTTAAAGTGCAGAATTCCAAGAAAGTAGTGGGTAGATGTCTACCCCCCCTCCCCGGCTTAAGTCGAAATGGAAAGAATACATTTTTGGTAGATGCCCATGTGATACTACATGAGAGGTCAATGCCTTTTACGTAGTTGGACACCCTTTCAGCAGTTGATTCTTCAATAAACCAGGTAAACTCGGTAAGATCCTCAATCTCCACTTCTTCTTCATAATCCTCAGCTTCCCGTTTTTTGACAGTCCACTTTCTCTTTGATTCGCTCTTTTTTCCTTCCATTTTTTTCTCCTCCATTGTCTTTTCCTTCCTTATTCAAATATTCTCCTTCTATTCATTTGAAGGATGAACACTAGCCAACTTAGTCATATACTGATTAAAAAGTAAAGTTGTTACTGCACATTTTGATTTTGGATAACTTGAAAGGCGATGACAATATTTTTGCACAAGAAATATACGCTCACTTCAATATGCTGCAAATGAACAACAACAAAAGAAAATATGTGACATTAAGCAAAATATAATTCATAGTAAAAAATAAGTTTAGCTAATGAAATAAAAAACTTCAGCATGCATAAGTATGAAGTTTAGAAAAAATGCATTACAAAACGACAAACTGCATGACAAAAACTTAAGCATATTCAGTATGAAGTGTTAGGAAGTAAATTAAAAAACTTCAGCATGTTTAGTCTGATGTTTTGGCAAATAAGCTAAACAACTTCAGCAATTTTTAGCATGCATAAGTCTGATGTTTACCAAACTACAGTACAAAAACTTTAAAACAAACATTAGGCTGAAGTTTTAGGAAATAGAGTTGAAAACCAATTCAAAAAACAAACTTTATAACTTACTACATCCGAAAGATCAGAGGTAGGGTCCACAAGCTTGGTAAAGAATGACTTTGGAATATCAAAATTCCAGCTAATCTGAATGGCTTGGAATTATATTCACTGGTGTCTTCAACCAGTCTGTAAATCTCTGCATCAATCCACTGTATTGATTAACATAATGGAAGAGACATCTTCGTGTAGTCTTTCCTGCTTTTCAATCTTTCCCCCTTGGCTTTTGTTTAGGAATGACGTAAGGAGATTTCAATCAAATACTCTCCATACGAATCCTTTTCCCTATTTTAGCTGGTTTTCTTTTTGCTTGCTCTTCCTGCAGAAGGCACTGGTGTAGAAGGTAATTCTGTTGTTGTTGTTGTTGGTGAAGAGAGACAAAAACATCGTGAACAACAGGGAGTTGGTCAAGTATCTCCCGCTATGGCTGTGGATTTTTCAGCTGCTGCTGAACCGCAACAGTTAGTTGTGACGGAACAGCAGGAAGAACAAGCAAAAAGAAAACCAGCTAAAATAGGAAAAAGAATTCGTATGGAGAGTATTTGGTTGAAATCTTTTTACGTCATTCCTAAACAAAATCTAAGGAGGCAAGATTGGAAAGTAGGAAAGACTACACGAAGGTGTCCCTTCCATTATATTAATCAATACAGTGGATTGATGCAGAGATTTATAGACTGGTTGAAGACGGATATAAGTGGATTCCAAGCCATTCAAATTAGCTGGAAGCTGGAATTTTGATATTCCAAAGTCATTCTTTACCGAGCTTGTGGACCCTACTTCTGATCTTTCGGATGAAGTAAGTTATTAAGTTTGTTTTTTGAATTTATTTTCAACTGTATTTCCTAAAACTTCAGCCTTATGTTTGTTTTAAAGTTTTTGTACTGTAATTTGGTAAACATCAGGCATAAGTATGCTATAAAACTGCTGAAGTTATTTGACTTATTTGCTAAAACTTCAGACTAAACATGCTGAAGTTAGCACTTCATACTGAATATGCTTTAATTTTTGTCATGCAGTTTGTAGTTTTGTAATGCGTTTTTTCTAAACTTCATACTTAATGCATGCTGAAGTTTTTTATTTCATTAGCGAAACTTATTTTTTACTATGAATTATATTTTGCTTAATTTCATATATCTTCTTTTGTTGTTGTTTATTTGTAGCATATTGAAGTGAGTGGTTATTTCTTGCGAAAAAATATTAGTATCACCTTCCAAATTATCCAAAATCAAAATATGCAGTAACAAATTTATTTTTTGATCAGTATATGACTAAGTTGGCTAGTGTTCATCCTTCAAATTAACAAAAGGAGAAAATTAGAATAAGGAAGGAAAAGAGAATGGATGAGAAAAAATGGAAGGGAAAAAGAGCAAATCAAAGAGAAAGTGGACTGTCAAAAAACAAGAAGCTGAGGATTATGAAGAAGAAGAAGTGGAGATTGAGGATCTTATCGAGTTTACATAGTTTATTGAAGAATCAACTGCTGAAAAGGTGGCCAACTACGTAAAAGGCAATACCTTTCATGTGGTATCACATGGGCATCTACTGAAAAAGTATTCTTCCATTAGGGGCAGACATCTACGCACTACTTTCTTGGAATTCCATGAGCAATACACCATATGAGCGTGCGGTTGAACATGTCCAAAAATTATGCCTGGTTGATCCCACACTTTCAAATGCTTGAACTTTGGCACACACAATAAAATTTATAGGGAAAATCTTGTGGAAAAAATTTGCGATTAAGAGGATGAACATACCCCTACAGGATAACAAGTACGTGTTTGGCATATGTTTACCATGCATCATTTATCGTTTGTTCTTTTTGTGTTAACTATTCTTCAATTTTTTCTCATGTTCTTTTTGTAATATTGATTGTGGTATATTTGCTCTTAAGTTCCTTGAGTTGCGGTTGTAGCAAGATGATGTCTTCAAATTCAATCAAAGTGATGCCTTGACATTCAGAAGAAAATTGCCTGCAAATCTTTGGGCTCATGGAAAGTGGAAAGAAAATAGCGGTTATGAAACTCCAGAAGAGCAACTAGGACATGACTATAGAGAATATGAAGACAGTCTATGTGAATTTTTCGATAGAGAATAACTTGTAAATGAAAAATAAATTTTTTCTTTTTTGTTATTTTTTCAAGGATGTAAGTGAAAACAAAATTGGATTTATGAATATACATTAATTTTTTTGAATTATGTGATGTCTGTCTTTTACATTTTTGTTCTATTCGCGTTAATTAGTCTGAAGTTGTCTTAGATTGTATCAAATACTTTTGTCTCTTTTATCATGAACTTAACTATGATTTTGTGAAATCAGACATGATTAGTCTGAATTTTTAGCAAATGAACTCTACTTGTTTAGGCTGAAGTTTCGAATAAAACTCATAACAAAAGTGTTGACTGTAGGACAAAAACTTCATCATGTTTGGTTTGAAGTTTTAGCTTCAATGTGAAACAACTTCAAGCTATATTAGCATGAAGTTTTACCTTCTACATGTTTAATGTAAAGTGTTAGGAAATGAACATAAAAACTTCAGCATGTTCCGTCTGATGTTTTAGCACATGAACTAAATAACTTCAACATTTTTGTTCTGAAGTTTTTAAGGAAAACTCATTGCTAAACCTCAGATTGCAGGACAAAACTTTAGCATGTTTTGGTATTTTTAGCATGTTTGATCATTATATGAAAATTTTTCAGGCTGAAGTTGTTTTTTTGCTATAGAAAAACTGTGGACTTATTAGGCTGAAGTTACATTTCTTTTTGCATTTACCACCTGCTTGTTTCCTTTGCATTTATAAATATTAAATTGATTAGGTGCACTCTTTGGGTATATTAACAATCTCTTCACTTGAAAATTTCATAGTCATCCATAGACTTCTATCATATTTCTTTAAATTTATATTCATCTTTAGCCTTTTAGCTTTTTAAAAAAAATGATGTCTGGTGCTAGCGGAAGTAGGAAGCTTACAATGGATGAAATTATATAGAAGTGAGAGAGTTTAAAGTCTGATTGGAATAGTATGTACCAATGGTTACTCTTATGCAGACGTGGGATCAAATAAAGGCTGATCGGGAAAGAATCAGACCACCATTTTCTGTCGATGAATCATTCCAGAACAGGATAAACCTCGAACGCAGTGGTGAAGGTTATTCAACCTCGTTTGACAAGATTTCCAGCAGTTTTGATTGTTTTAAGTTTCCCATATGGGACGACTATGACAAGCTGCAAAACAACTTGAAGAGTCTTCTTTATCTTATGGACAGAGTAATAGTTGAACAAAGTCAGTTGCGTGTTGAATTCAACAAGTTGAAGTGCAATCTCATTAGACTTTGTGGTCTTTTGCCCGAGTATCCTATAATTATCTCTGATTCGGATGATGATAAGATATATCGAGAAATTGAGGAGTATTGTTCTGATGATGGTGATGATGCTTAGTTTTGTAATACTTTTTTTTATGTTTTTCTTCTGTGTGTTTTGTTAATATTTTTATGGCTCTTCTTTTGTTTTGTTAATGTTTTGATGATGGTGGTGTTTTGTTAATGTTTATGTTGTATTATGTTTTATAAATGAAAAATCTTGTTTCGTTTTTCTGTATAATTTTTTTTCAATTTTGAAGGTAGCGTTGTTATTTTAATGTTATAGCGTAGTACGCCAACTTCATATATAAGTTTGGAAACTTGAACTTTATAGGCTGTAATTTTTTTGCAAGCATTTCCCGTTAATAGGAAGGTTGTATTTAATGACTTTTTGTCCAGCAGTCTGCAATTTTTGTAATGATTTTTTTCCAAACTTCAGAGAGAATATGTTGAAATTATTTAGTTCATTTTCTAAAACTCAGACTAAAGATGCTGAAGTTTTGTCCTACAGTATGAATACTTCATATAGAAAAGTGTAGTTTTGTATTATATATATATGTTTTTTTTGGGTGTGTGTGTGTGTTAAAGATACTTATTTCACTTACAATTTTTTCTCGCTAAAGTCATTGCGTACTTTTTCAGAATGCAGCCAAACATGTAAGTCACCAAAGAAAGAGTATTTTTCAATCCAAGAACTTATATTTTTATTTCTATGAAAACAATCACATTTCACATATATCATTCAATAATGAAAGTCTAAATTCAGACCAAGGATTATTGAACGTTGGAGTATTTTTCAGCGTGTTTCTTGAAAAGACAAGCAACAACACAAGTTGCTGGAGAAGAGAAAGTTGTTCTGTTATCCCCAATTTATTTTTAGTGACTGCATTTAGTAGACTTCAATGGTACTGTTTCAGTCGCAGGGAATATGCCGAGAGGTTTTGTGATTTCAGATTCTACATTTTGTGGTATATCCCATGAATTTTGAACCATGTTTCCCTTGAATAGCATTTTGAGCACTATCAGATTTCAGCAAATATCTCTTATTAATAGCAGCAATTGTGTGTGGACAGGGCAATTCATCAAGTTGGAATTCCAAGCAGTCACAAGTTCTCTTCTTTAAGTCCACAATGAATTCCATTCCTTCACTTCTAAACAACATTCAATCAAGGTTAAAAAAGTAAAAAAAAACTATATTATTATTGCTTCAAAAAAAAGTATGAAGTTTTCTATATGTAAGCAGTAAATCACTGCAGCAAATATTAAAAGCTGAAGTGATTATGCATTAGTCCATCTTGAATGAAAGCCAAGTCCATCTTCTTATTCATGTGTTTTTTTTCTCCGTTCGTAAAACCGCTCTCCCAACTTTTCTTGAATGAAATCTAACATTTTTAAAACAAGCATCTCTCCCGCTTTTGGTAACACGGAATTCATTGATTTGACCATGTCTGTTGTTAGCATATCATAACGTCGCCGTAGGAATCACGATCGAGCCCATCTCTCTGGCGGCTCTTCCATTTCTTGTCAACACTTTTTGATTTGGGACATTAACTGATTAAAATCTTCACGTTTGAAAAAGATTTATTACCCGTGCATGTCTTTGCTTTAAATTCTTCTCAAAGTGATAGAGGTAGATACCATGGTGAGCTTCAGGATAAATTTTTCTAATCCCATTTGCGATCGATTGGTTTCTATCTGATAAGAAAACTAGCTCACGACGGACTTGAATTGCTTTTCTCATTTCCTCGAAGAATTAAAAGATAGAGGAAAGATTTGATTGTTTGCATCCCTTAAAAATATTGCATCTACTACAATCACAGGTCTACAGTAGCACCAACCAGCTATTGATGCCGCATGAGCAAAGAACATGTAAGAAAATCTGTACAAGTGAAACACAAAAAAACAAATCATAAGGTGTGAAGTTTTTCAAATAGGAACATTTGAAACTTCAGACTGATGGTTTTGCTTACCGATTCTGCTCAATCTCTTTTTATGCTAGTGTACGTCCTTGGGTTTCTATGCACCATCATGTGTAGGTATGAAGGAAGAATTTGGTAGTTCTCTTCCAGTGTTCCCCTTATGCAAGCAATAGCCTTTTGAATAGCGCCATGCCTTGTGATATCAAATGTCAATTTCAAATTTCTTTTTCATTTCACTTTCTACAAAGGCTGGTGTAACCTCTATCTTTTTATCCCGAACATGTTCTAAAATTTGTTCACTTATAAAATTTGATGTAGCATGCTTCTGATATGACTTTCTTGCATCAACCGAGCATTCATGGTTGTTGATATTTTATCATCCTAAAAAGTGTGGAATTTTTTTATTCTGGTAGCACGTACATTCCAACCACATTTCTCCACGATGCATTTCAGCTCGTACCTCTTTGAACATGATCTATTAGCAGTGTATTCAACTTTTTGGTTTATCTCCAAGCTGCAGAAAAATTTAGTCATGCTCTTCCTGTTCTCAAAAATTGATCCTATTTTTACTTCCTTAGGAAATGCATCGTGCCTAAGTATTTTACATGGTGGAGATTCTTTCATCTTTCTCCTTACTCTTTTTCTTGCTTTCTTAGAAGCAGCAGAAGTTTCAGCAATTTCTTCAATTGATCACAAGGCAGAAGTTTCTTGATTTTGTGTTTTCTTCATCTTCGTTGTTGCTTATCATTGCAGAAGGTAACAAAAAACTTTGTTGGATTGTGTGTTAGTTGTCTATTTGCATTATTAGCTGTCCTTCTTCTTCTTGGTCTTCAACAAACTGGTATAAATTTATTGTAGCGGCAGGTAATTGCTGCAACATTCCATACTCTGAAGCAGCTATAATTTTAGAAGGTTGTCGCTCGTTGTCTACTTCTATTATTGGCTGTTCTAGTTCATGTTGATAATCAGCAAATTGTTCTGAATCTATTGTATGTGTAGATTATGAAGCAACTATACTGTCAGAAATGAGTTGTGTTTTGTTGACGACAAAATGGCAATTCTTGAAGGCTGAAACAGTTGTTAGCAAAATACAGGTTCTGAGTTCTTCATCTGATGTTACAAGCATCCCTTTGCTTGTATTTAGTTTGATATCAAACCATATTTTTAGTGAATATTTGGTTGAATCAAAATCTGTAACTTCACTAATTTTCTTCGGAAAAGTATTGAATGATTCTTGTTTACTAATCAGAACAAGTTTTGTATCATGATCGAAGTATTTGTAATCAAAAGTCCACCTCCCATTGAAAGTAATAACAAGGCAAATCAAACCCATCCTCCAGAATGAAAACTTCAGCATGTTTAGTGTCAAGTATTAGAAAAATGAACAAAAAAATTTAAGTATGACGTTCATAAAAAATTCATTAGAAAATTACATACTGTAGAACAAAAACTTAAGCATGTTTAGTCTGAAGTTTTAGCAAATGTACTGAAACACTTCAGCTTGTTTATACTGAAGCTTCGAAAAAAAGCTCGTGAAAAAATTGTTTAATGCACGACAAAACTTAAGCACGTTTTGGTATGAACTTTTAGCAAATGAACTAAATAACTTTAGCATGCATTAAATAAAATTCATTAGAAAATTACATACTACAGGAGAAAAACTTTAGCACATTTTTTTGGAAATGAACTAAATAAACAACCTCAACATTTTTCTGCTGAAGTTTCAGAAAAAACTCATGACAAAACTGTTGAATGCAGGACAAAACTTAGCATATTTTGGTATGAACTAAATAACTTCAGCATGTTTTAGCATAAAGTTTTAGAATGCATTAATCATATATTGTACAGGAGTAAACGTAATACACACATTTAATGTAGTAATTATTTTTGCGTTGGGGTATGTGTTAGTGTAATAATTACATTTCTGTCACATTCATGCACGCTTTACACTGGACGTTTAAAATTCCTTTATGCCCTTTCATATACCATGCAGAAGTTTTTTTTCACCTATATAAGTAGACAATGCCTTGTAAGTTTATTCACTCAAACACATATATTTTAGGAGATAAAATACAGAAGGAAGAAAAATGGATGCTGTCATAAGGCAAATCATTGACGAAATTAAGCAAGATATCATAGAGGCATTCGAGTTGAAACTCGATGAGTTCATAGACAAGTACGATAGGATTTGGAAGAAATCAAGACAAAGCTCGATAGGCTTGAGATGCTGGCCAGAGATGGCTCCTATGATAGTCTTGGAGATGCAGCCGTTCGCCCATCTGACAGTGATGACGATGATGATATGGATGATTAGCTTTTTTATTTTTGTTTTTATTGTATAATCCTTCTATTTAAAGGGGTTTATTATCTTATTTCTATTTTTATGCAATTTTAATTTCTATTTATTTTGTTTAATGAGATTTTATACTTTTGTTTTAATCTTTTTGTGCGTATTTTTTATATTAAATCTCTTTAAATTCAGAAAATAAGCAATTTTGGTGTGAAGTTTTAAGAAATGAACAAAAAAACTTCATGGTGGATAAATTATGTACACAGTTGTTCCAAAAACAAAGACTATAGAGAAGTT